AATATTCTGCCTTCCGAAATCTGACATACCATTTTGTCGGTAAGAAAGGAACAGCACCTGGCCCAGCAAGGTTAGACCTGAACACCTGAAGAAATTGCCATCAGTACTCATCAATATGTTGGCTCAGCTCTTCACATGCTACCTGTCTGAATGCAAGGTTCCGTCAAATGGAAAAGCAGCAGGACTGTACTACTGTACAAGAAGGGAGACATCCATGATATTGGCAACTATCTTCCGATCTGCCTATTGTCTGTCATTGTCTACAAGCTGTTCACTCGAGTCATCCTGAATAGGAATGACAGAACACTAGATGAAGGACAACCATGCGAACAAGCTGGTTTCCGAAAAGGATTCAGCATGATTGACCATATCCACACGATAATCAAGCTCATTGAGATTTCTTGGGAGTTTGTGATGCTGCTCTGTCTAACGTTCATTGATTTAAAGAAGATCTTTGATTCTGTTGAGACAGAAGTGGTCATCGAAACCCTAGCCAAACAGGGCATCCAAACTCAATACATCAGGATCCTCCTTGAGCTGCATTATGGATTCACTATCAGGATCTCACCATTCTACAAAGAAGTGTTCAGCGATGTCAAGAGAGGGGTTCAGCACAGTGATACCATTTCACCAAAACTCTTCAGTGCCACCCTCGAGAACGTCATGCGATGACTGGAATGGGAAGAAATGACAGTGAAAATAGACGGTCAGCAGCTATACCACCTCTGCTTTGCTGATGACATCGTTCTAATAACACCTAACATTAACCAAGCAGCACAAATGCTGGCCGACTTTGACCATGAGTGTAGAAAGGTCAGACTACAGCTGAATCTCATGAAGACAATTTTTATGAGAAATGGTCTCATCCCTGATGTTCCATTCACTCTCAATGGGACAAACATCTCCGAATGCAGCAGTTATATGTACCTAGGTCAAGAAGTCAACATGAAGAATGACCTGGCACCTGAGTGGCGCAGGAGGAAGAGAGCAGCTTGGAACATCTTCGAGAGCATCGAAGAAATAGTTAAGAGGACAAAGAACCTCCAGCTTCGGGCACATATCTTCAATTCCACTGTTCTTCCTGCATCAATATATGCCTCAGAGACCTGGGCCCTACGAAAACAGAATGAGAATGCTATTTGGGTCTCCCAAAGAGGAATCGAAATAGCTGTTCTTGGAGTATCACACTTCATTAAAATGAGAGAAAGAATCTCGAGTTCCAACCTCTGTCGACGGTCAAGAATCAGGGACGCTGTCTCGTTTGCCAAGGCGTCGAAAATCAGATGGGCTGGACACATACTGAGATTTGGAGACGAACGCTGGACTAGAGCTGTTACTGACTGGATTCCTCGGGACGTCAAAAAACCACATGGCCCCCCACCTACCAGATGGTCAGACTTCTTCCTCAGGACCCTGAATGATTGGTTTGAGGCTCTTTGTGTTCCTAGAATGAACAGATGCCATTGGGCTACACTAGCATGCGACAGGGACAAATGGCAACGTTACTGGCACTCGCTCAATCAAATTGATGATTAACAGGAAGTGAAGTGATCAAGTGATCAAATGATGACTTATACTAAAAAATATTTTTATGTTTTTTCTCTAATGAGTAAGTTTTGCAATTTTTCTTAAAGTAGAAGAATCGTTTTTTGAAAGCCTACAATAGAATGAATTGAATTTTTATAACTAGGTTTATAAGCTATACTTTATAAAGGAAAATTAAGTTAGGTAAAATACATATATACTATATATAGTTGCATATTTTAAAAGTTTTAACTTAACTTAAGCAATTTTTATAATTACATTAAAATTTAAATTTGTTACCTGTTTTTAGTTTGTTTGGTAAGATAGAAGAAATTTAATCTAATTGATTTAAGAATCTCCTTGGATCTCTCTACCTTATCTCTTGCACATTATAGCAGTTCTACATAGATAATATTTTTATTTTCCCTCTTTTTTAATAATTTTATTTATCGAATCACCGTGAGAGCAGTTACAAAGCTTTCGGGATTAAATCTTGGTCATACAATGAAACACCCATCCCTTCACTGTGCCCATTTTTCACCAGCCAAAACCCCAGTATAGCCTCCATTCCACATCCTCCCCCTACCTGTGGGGCAGATGATTTCCACATTACTCTCTCTCTCTCTCTACTTTGATCACATTCAATATTTTGACACCAGACTCACATTGTTATTTGGGATTTTACCCAAGCACTCAGATCTGCCAAAAAAGGCAGCAGTAGACAATTTGCTTTCTACTGCAGGTTATAAATAAAATATGATTTTTTTTAAATGTAGGAATACTGCTATTTATTCAGCCACTGATTAGCTGATTGAATTGTGCATGAATTCCACCTTACTTTTTTTTATTTTCTATAATTTTATTTATTGAATCACCATGAGAGCAATTACAAAGCTTTTGGGTCTAAGTCTCGATCATACAATGAAACACCCGTAACTTCACCAGTGCCCATTCTCCACCACCAAAACCCCCAGTATACCCCCAACCCACAACCTCCCCCCTACCTGTGGGGCAGATAATTTCCACATTGCTCTCTCTCTCCTTTGAACATATTCAATATTTTGAAACCAGACCCACCATTATTATTTGAGATTTTACCCCAACACTAGGATCTGCTGAAAGGCAACAGTAGATAATTTGTGTTCTATTGCTGGTTATGAATAACATATGATGTCGCGTGGCTGCGGTAGGGCCATGTGATTTTGAAATTTCGAAATTTTAACACTTAAATCTGGAGGGATTTCTGCCAAAAGCCACTGGGTTTTGAGATTCGCTCCTGAGTCTCTGGGATCATGGCCCTTGAGCAGCTTGATCAGGAACCAGAGAAGCAGTTCTTGGGCGATGACTTGGGGTCTCGTTGGGGTGGGGAGAACAGGCCTGGCTCCACCCCCATCCCATGAGGCCCAACAAGTTTCATCACTGCGGGCCCAAGCCTGAATGTCCAATGGCCTCTGGAAGATGACGGCACCGAGCCACCAGGGGGAAGCAGGTGGAGGGACAGCACCCTTTCCCCCTCTGGGGTGGCCCCGTGACAGTAACCTACTGTGGGATCTGGACGCATTTCTGCCAGAAGCCGCTGGGTTTTGAGATTTGTTTCTGAGTCTCTGGGATCAAGGCCGTTAAGCACCTTGATAAGGAGCCAGAGAGGCGATTCGTGGGCGATGACTTGAGGTCTCGTTGGGGTGGGGAGGACAGGCCCGGCTCCCCCATCCCCCATCCCATGAGGCCCAATAAGATTCATCACTGCAGGCCCAAGCCTGACTGTCCAATGACCTCTGGAGGATGATAGCCACCGAGCCACCAAGGGGGAGCAGGCGGAGGAACAACACCCTTTCCCCCTGGGGTGGCCCAGCGACAGTAATGTACTGTGGGGTCCGGACGCATTTCTACCAAACGCCTCTGGGTTTCGAGATTTGTTTCTGAGTCTCTGGGATCATGGCCATTAAACAACTTGATCAGGAGCCTGAGAGGCCGTTTGTGGGCGATGACTTGGGGTCTCATTGAGGTGGGGAGGACAGGACCAGCTCCACCCCCATCCCGTGAGGCCCTGCGTGTCTCATCACTTGGGGCCCAAACCTGACTGTCCAGTGGCCTCTGAAGGATGGCAGCCACTGGGCCACCAGGGGGAACAGGCCAAGGCACAAAACCTATTCCCACCTGGGTTGACCCAGCACTGGTGACCTACTGCAGGGACCAGACGCATTTCTGCCAAAAGCCGTTGGGTTTCAAGATTTGTAACTGAGTCTCTGGGATCATGGCCATTAAGCAGTTCAATTAGGAACCAGAGAGGCCATGCCTCCAAGTATACAGTTGAGCCGGAGGTGGTTTGTGGGTGTGTTTCCCCCATACCTAACTTTTGGCCATTTATTGTCTTGGTAAACTCTGCCCCAAGTTTTTGGGGTCTGGCCAAAGGCACAGCAGCAATTTTGGGATATCTGGAAGTCTGAAGGCGCCATGAGGCTGCTGATGCACTCGCCTCACAGGTACAGATGGACCTGCAGGTGGAACCATACCCCCATACATAGATAATTTTTGATTAGAAAAATTCTAGACCAGTATTGGGGTAGAGTGGGAAACAAACAGACTAAGCACAAAAATTAATATGTATTCATCTACTACTGAAAATCCTGACATGACCCATATGAAGGACTAGAGTAATAATGTAAAAATCAACTCTATACTGATTCCTTTCCCATTCATCACTTGATCACTTGACTTCCCGTTAATCGTCGATTTGCTCAAGTGGGTGACAGTAATGTCTCCATTTGTCCCTGACACGTGCTAGTGTAGCCCAATGGCATCTGTTCGCTCTAGGAACACGAAGAGCCTCAAACCGATTGTTCATGATCTTGATGAAGAAGTCTGACCATCTGGTAGGTGGGCGGCCACGCGGTCTTTTGACATCCCGTGGAATCCAGTTGGTAACAGCTCTAGTCCAGCGGTTGTCTTTAAATCTCATTACGTGACCAGCCCATCTGATTTTTGACACCTTGGCAAATGAGACAGCATCACTGATTCTTGATTGTCGAGGGAGGTCGGAACTCCGGATTCTTTCTCTCATTTGAGTGAAACATGATATTCCAAGCATAGCTCTTTCAATTCCTCTTTGGGAGACCCGAATAGCGTTCTCATCCTGTTTGCATAGGGCCCAGGTCTCTGAGGCATATGTTAATGCAGGAAGAACAGTGGAATCAAAGAGATGTGCCCGGAGCCAGAGGTTCTCCATTCTCTTAGCTATTTCTTCGACGCTCTTGAAGGTGTTCCAAGCTGCTCTCTTCCTCCTGCGCAGTTCGGGTGCCAGGTCATTTGTCATGTTGACTTCTTGACCTAGGTACACATAGCTGTTGCATTCGGAGATGGTCGTTCCGTTGAGAGTGAATAGGGTGTCAGGAACGAGGCTGTTTCTCATAAACATTGTCTTCGTAAAATTCAGCTGTAGTCCGACCTTTCCACACTCACGGTCAAAGTCGGCCAGCATTTTTGCCCATTCATAAGCATGATGATTGGGTGTTCACATGTTTGTGTGGCATGTACCTTCCTCAAATCTTGTTATGCACTTGGCATACTACCCATCTGATGTGAAAAATAAATCAACTCTGTGATATAAGTGATTGTGATATAGATAATAAGTGATAAGGAAGACCAGATGCATTTATAGAATAAAGCAACAAAATTTCAGGGAAATAATAGAGCAAATTTTCTCAAAATGTCTACACTAGTTTTGATACCTGTTATGTTGGTGTTCAATGTAGCAAATTTTTTTTTAAAAATTATAAGTATTTTTTAAACTCAATTATATATCATAATTCTCACTATGACATGTAGTATTAGAAAGGCAGCAAACATCGTGGGAGGTCTAGAAAGAAGAAGTTGAATAAAGAACACCACTGACATTCATAGAATAAAAGAGCAGGATCAGGTAAAGTATAATCACTGTAGTGTATTCTACAGTGTCTGGCACAGGAATTATAAGGGTAATGGAGAAGAAATAATGTTTGAAGTATAAAGCACCAGAAGCTAATCAGTGGAAAATTATTTTAATCCCCAAATGTATTCAATTATAATTGGAGAATTTGGTTTCTATTGAAGTCTAATTGAAATAGAAATGCTATCCTGTCAGGAGTATAATTGATTGTACATCATAGAACAATTAGGTAATGAAAAGTTTATCTTCTTTTTCTAATTGTAGTTATGCAAAATGGGATTGTTGTGCTTTCTGTGTTTTAGTACAATAACTCAAATGTGCTGCAAAAATTTATATGACATTACCAATAATGAATTGTGAAGCTGAATGAAACGTTTGTAAAACATTAATAATGCTGGCATTACACAAATTTTGATTAAGTTTATGAGTAGCAAACCTAAATCAACATTTTATTTATTTTCAAATTTATTTGGTCACCATGAAGTTACAGTGCTATTTGTGGTTGGGTTTCAGGCATACAATGTTTTAACACCAATTCCTTCACTCATGTCCACTCCCCTCAACAAGGGCCTCAACACCTGTATTTGCTACTCACCCACTAGTATGCTTCTCCAAAAGGTGCAGAATAAGCCCTTTAAATTATAGAAAATATCAAATAATTTGAAGTAATTTCCATAGCCTTTATATTATCCAGTAAAAAATGCAGTGAAAATAAATCATAAAATATATCGTAAGTTAATATAAAGATTATGGAATTTTCCTGAGTTTTTTGATGGTTTTGTTTGTCAGTGTTGTAATATTTATAATTGATTTTTAATTCTAAATAAGAATTAGCATATATCCTAACTTATTATTCATTGATTTTTTTATTTTTTAGAAAGTCTACAAAAAATTCCATGTTTGAAGTTTTGAATTAGGCATCAACTGATATTTTCATATATTCCGCTGTTTGTGTGTTTTTCTTTCACCTCCCACATAACACATGCTCTATGCATGCAAATACTTTGTTTTGCCCTTGACTGTTATTTGAGCACATAGCATCTTATTTATATACAGAAAAAAACACTTTATAACTATCTGTTGAATGCATGGATGAATAATACCAATGACTTCACCCAGTAGATAACTATTGTTTCTTCAATTATTTTGATAACCTTTGTTAGATAACTAATGCTTAGTCTTTTTCCTAAGTTTTCTATGTCTGTAATTGCTCAGTCTTCATACTCTCTGTCAATCTGTGTTTCTTTCTCTTTTATCTCTCCTGTTGGCAGAGATCAAGCTCAAGGCCTTATACATGAAAATACACTCACCACTGAGCCATCTCCCCAACTCTCACTATTGGAATCTTTCTTCTGACCAACACTTGTGGCAATGTCTCAATATATACCTGCAGGATTCCAGCCTGCTTGTGATCTTCTCTTCCTGAATGCATTATCTATGCACTTTGGAGTTTCTTAGAAAGTCATAAAAGCCAGTACCTTTTAATAAATACATCTCCTACCAGCTCTGCTTCTCTGACTAATAACTCCTGTTATATATTTTGTGACAAGACACAGTCTTTTTCTCAAGGGACACACAATCTTGTAGGAGACTTGTCCATGAAGATGATCAGATAAAGGATAGTTCGGGATCATTTTCAGTTATAAATTGAAATATGTGACATAGAAAATAAGCACTCAAGATGACAGATTAGCAAGATACCTATATGGTCAAGAATCGGGGAGAAATCCTTCAACAATAAAATGGAATTGAATTTGTTTTTGAAGAAAAGATTGAATGTAAAGGATCAAAAAGAGAATTTTCTATTTAAACAAAATCCTCAGTTGATGTATTGAGATTAAACTAAGATGTTCTGTTCAGGAGACATTAATCTTGTAGCACCTGCAACCAAAATACCACTTGAATGGTGATTTTTTTTTTCTGTAAGAAATTAGGTTATACTTTTTACATTGTTCTAGTTATTACCAAGAAAATGTCAAATATTCAACTCTGTCAATATTTAGTAAAGTTGATTTTCTAATTCTTACTGTACTTTACATACTAAAATCAAGTACCTGTGCAAAGTGGCATTTTCTGCAAAAGAAAACAAAGTTTCAGGAACAATGCAATACAAGAAGAAATATCCCTCTTGCTTCTGTTGACCACACCTCAAACTTCTTGGATGTGAATTTGTTGAAGAATTGTCACGTGTATCTAAAGGGTCTATAGAGGTACAGATGACAAATATGTATATTAAGCTTGTGAGAGGAATTATGATGGTGAGGAGCAGCTATTGATGTTTGGGGAAAAGCAATTTTAGAAGACAAGAGTTTGTTATCATAAAAAAACAACCGAGGACTTGGAGTTTGCTGTGCTTGATAAGGAAATATTATCTTTACTTACTGGGAACAGACATTAGGAACAATTTAGCAAAATAGTTTGATAAATATATATTTTGATTCTTGTTTATTAACAGTGAATAATTATATACACACTCTTTAAACTATTGAAATACGACACTTCCAGTGTATCCTTACTACTTCCTTTTGATTTTGGAAATTTGTGTTTAAAAATATCAATACAATGATCTCAATATAGTGACAGGAGGGAGAACACATAAATGTATTAAGAAATATGTGCTATTTAACCATAAATTGGGTAATAAAGTTGATGAATGAGGAAATCACCATCTGGAATAAAATTTATATAAAAGCATATCTTGTAAATACATGTTACATGAAAAGAACAAGGATCGTTTGGTCCATTAAGTTGGAAAATGCTGGACTGAATAAAGTCAAATATGTGTTCTTCTCAACTTTATAGCATTTTCAATGTTATTGTTCATTATTTCTAAGCTGGGAAAAATGTGCAATACTATATTCCACCATGGATCACCTGCTTATATTAAAAATCATATCTTTCAAAGGTAATAATGCATATTTTGGTAACTTATGCATAAATTGAGAGTACTTATACTAAATCTTTTACAGTTTATTGAGCACCCTGATACAACAGTACTAGTCAAGATACAGAGGAAAAAGAAAGTCTGTTCAGTGTTGGTAGGAACACTAACTGGCTTAACTTCTATGAAAAACACTGAGGAGATTTTTTCAAAAAAATAAAAAATGAACCTTGAATGTGATATAGCAATTACGTATTTGGTATCTATACCAACACCAGAAAAAGACAATTCAAAGAGACATATGCATGACTATAACTGCACTGCATTGCTCTTCATATGAGCTAACATTTATGAACACTGCAAGTGCTGACTAGATAGGGTAGAGTAACAACTTGTGCTGTAAGTTTAGGGTAATTGCTCAAAGAGACGAAGATCATGGTTTGCATGTGTGAGGCCTGGGTGCAATTATGATCCAACATATCATTCTTCTATGAGCACTTTCAGGTATGGCATGACCCCATGCCCCGCCTCCCACAAAAATGAAAGAGTGACAGAAGGATAGTGATGGAAGGTCTTTGGCATGTCAGTGATGGTTGAAGTACAATAACATTGTATGCCAAAACATTACTGAAGTGTGTTACTTGAACTAAAATAATCATAATTATAAATTCCAATAAAAATAAAAGACTTGTAGTATATATGCACAAGAGAATATCACTAACCTACAAACAAATGAAGTTTAGCTTTTTTCCTGATTTAACGTGAGTGGCATTCTAAGCAAACTAGATTAGAAGGAGAAAGACAAATATTAAGCCTATTATTCGTGGGTAGTGTATAAAGAAAAAGAGCAAGGAAATAGACAGTATTCAATAAAAATAAATTGTGACAGCTAAACAGAGATTGTCAAAAGGTTGAAGCATAAAAAACAGTACTATGGATTGTGGTTGAGGTATATACTGTTTGGGGGCGTTTTATTTGTTTCCTATGGTCAGCTGCTTGGAGAGGCTCAATATTATTTCTTTTGTTCATTTTTTTGTGGGGTTGTGCTGCACCTGGACATTCTCTGGGTTTACTCCTAGTTCTGTGCTAAGAAATCACTTTTAACAGGGTACCAGTTAGCCCTGGTCAGCTGTGTGCAAGGCAAGCATCTTACCTTGTCCACTCTCTGGAGAGTACTTCCATTTTAGCTGTTACCACCCAACATTCTAAACATTCTTGCAAGTTTCAGGGATTCTCTTTGAGTCTCTGAGCTCCCTGTTCCTTCAGGATCACAAAACATATCCCAGTTCTTGGGCTTGAAACCACAAATTTGACATACACTAAAGGTCAAATTTGTAAGCTAAAGGATCTTAAACATACAGACACTTTCCACCAGCCTACCAGGGAAGGTATTAATCTTATTTAGCAACACAAAAGAAGCCTAAATTAGCAAGGACATTGCTGGGAAATAAATGGTTGTCCTATACTTTGATGCAAAACACAAAGATCCAACTTCCTTATAGCAATACCTACCTCTTTAACAAAGTAAATAAACTAACTCATATTTAACTTAGTTCTTTGCTAGTTTCCACCCTGGTGGGGGCAGAATTTTTGTTTTCTCCTTTTTAACAAACCTAACTATTTCCAATGCTGAGTCTGAGCATAAAGACATACATGTGGACTAAGATTTTGCTATAAAGGATGCTCGTTAAAACAACAGTGCAAGGTTAAGTCTTCTTATTAATTGGTGTTGAGAAAATTGAATGTTCAAAACAATGAAACTAGATCACACTT